ATAATGTGAGAAGTACTCAGTTCCAATTACGCATTATTTTGTGTGAGGGAAATGAGAGATCATGAGATATGTCATGTGACATTAATGGACGAATAACAGTTCTTTAATCAGAAAAGGGGGGAAATCTGGAAAATTTTTATTGCGTTTAGCATTTTGTATTTAGCTTCATACTGTGTTGTGTGAAACAGTGTTGGTTAATTTTTGGATCCCATGGCCCTAACTAAAGTGAATTCGAAATGGGTATTTAGTGGGATTGAAAGGGGTAGTAATAAGTGTTTTTTTAAGGTTGTGCGAGATAGAAGTAAAGATTGGTTATTAAGTTTTATTAAGTCTGTTTGGAGGATGAAGGTTTTGAACATCTTGCTGTGAACTATAAGTATGATTTTAAAGATCCTGAAACAGGCGCACATATGATTGCTTTTTATTTAGCGGAGGAAATAAGAAAAGTTTATCCACCACGTAATCAAGAATCTGAAGAAGATTAGGTAAGTTAGTATTTTTAATTATTTGAGGATATTATTTTTATGCATTGTTTGTTCTAAATGTAAGGAGTAAATAAAGTAATATGGTATTATTGGAAAATTGTTATTAGCAATGATTTAGTTTAAAGTAATTAGGATTGTAAGCTAATTTTTATTAATTTAATGTATGTGCTTATTTATATTTTAAGTAGTGTTTTTGAATTTAATTATATTTTAATTAATGATACTTATTTTGTGAATTATATGTTTGTAGGAATTTGGTATACATTTCAGTGGAAGTAAATGTGCATGGAAATAATTTAAATATTTGACACTAAGTATTTGTAACCATTTGTAATGTTTGCGGTATGAATTCATTGGTGACGTTTATAATATAATAGATAATTTAGAGGTAAAAGTTTTTGGATATTTTATTTATTTTATACGTGGAAATGTTCATGTTTGGAAAGGGTATATACTTTTTCACTATCAGGTAATTTCATATATGTTCTTTTTACCGGATTTAAAGATTTACAAAATTTTCATGCATTTTCGTAAAATTTTTCTAATTTATGAGAAAAAAGCAGTGTACATGGATATAGTGAAGAATGTGCGCAATGCCATTTTTGTGCAATTCTGGGATGTTTTTTTAAGTAAAAAAAAGTCAACGTGTACATGGTTTAGTGATATTTTAATTAAATGATAGTTATTTTGTGAATTTTATGTTTGTAGGAATTTGGTATACGTTTCAGTTGAAGTAAACGTGCATGGAAATAATTTAAATATTTGACACTAAGTATTTGTAACCATTTGTAATGTTTGCGGTATGAATTCGTTGGTGACGTTTGTAATATAATAGATAATTTAGAGGTAAAAGTTTTTGGATATTTTATTTATTTTGTACGTGGAAATGTTCATCCTTGGAAAGGGTATAAACTTTTTCGCGATCTGGTAATTTCATATATATGCTTTTTACCGAGTTTAAAGATTCACAATTTTTTTTTTTTTTTTTTTTTTCATTTTTGTGCAAATTTTTATAATTTATGAGAAAATAGCAGTGTAGATGGGTAAAGTTAAGAGTGTAGCAATGCCATTTTTGTGCAATTCTGGGATGTTTTTTTAAGTAAAAATAAGTCGACATGTAAATGGTTTATGTGTATGTGCTATTCTGAAAAACGCGGCAAGGAGTTTGCGATTTTGCACTTTTTCTTAATTTTGCAGTTAATATTTGTCATGATTAAGCAGTTTTTGTTACATAAAATTTCTAGCATAAGTGTAGTTCAGCTAGTAGATTGTTGGAAAAAGTGTTCAGTAAATAAAAAGAAAAGAAACATGTCTTTACTTCGTGAAGACAAAATGGCGGCGAAAAAAAAATAGAGGGTTGCTGTAGCAGAGTTGGTCGCCAAAATATCGCCAAGTTACCATAATCCAAAGATCAACCAAAATTTGTTATTGTAGTATTAAAATGTTATAAAAGGTATTTTAAATTGTGAATCAATTGTAATTTTCAAGTGTATGATATTTTTTGAAGTAATTAGCAGGATATGCACCTGGTTGGTAACTGCAGGCTTGATAATAATTAATGCTTTGTCTCCAGAACTTTTCATTGAAGAAGGAAAAGAATTTTTCTTCACTGGTAAAGTAATGTAATCAAGACTACAATCTAATGCTACAAAATAATCACTTTTTATTTGCTTCCATATTTGTGTGGGGGGGACTCGTCATTAGCGTTCTTTTTTTTATTACTTTTTTTTTACATTGCCCAAAGTATGGCAGTGGCTTGCATTGTTTTTGGACAGTTGTGTTTCTCAATTTTATTTTAAAATATAAGTTACTAAATAATATCAAAATCACATTATTTTTCTTTCACATATACTGGTGATCATCTATTTTAAAACCTGCTTGTTTTGAAAAATGTTATTCAAAAGGGTTCTGGGGAAAAATAATTTCTGAAAATGGACACTGTGAATTCATTTTCAGAACGTTTTGAATAAATTATTGTTTGGGCATTTTGAATAAATAGTTTGTATTTAATAAAAGATATGAAAATAATAGGACATTTAATATTTCGTTGGATATCATTTAGCTAAAATTACATTTTTCATGCATTTTTGCATTGATTCAACGAATTTTTTCATGCAAGATTGTTTCATTTGTTCCATTCTTATGTAAGAATTGCTTTTAATAGAACTTCATAGGTATCATGTTTCCTTGTTCTTTTCTGTAACTCACTCTATTCATGTTCCATAAGATTTGAATATGGAGAATCTGAAGAAGTTTTGATAACTTCAGAACAGTTGTATAATAACCACAAGCGAACATTTATGACGTAATGTTTAAGATCCTTATCTACAAAAATCTTAAATGCATTGTGCATTCCAACTTTTTTTGCAAATGCTTTTAGGTTTCAGTTCTGTTAAGAATATTTATACATTTATATTATTGCATGTTATTTTGGATAGACATTAAATTTCTTATTAGAAAGGCAACGAAACATCCCCAAACTAATGCCCTCTACCCACACGAGTAACGTTAGGCAATAGATTCTTTTTAATTTAGATTTTGCCATATATTAATTTATCTCTCGACTCTAAATATATTAAATTTTAACTTTTCTGTAAATGCAACATTTTTCTGATATGATAAATCTTTGCTTACTATAGGTTTTGGGAACATCAGATGTATTTTCCTTGTTTTGTTGTAGTTGTAAAATTTCCTTATTACTGATCGCCCATTGTATCCATGTGCTACAAATGACTCTTCTAAAAGTTGTAGGGTTAACTTTTACTGCAAGCCATTCTTCAGAATCTGCTGAATGTTTTATAGTACTAACCTTGGGTCTTGTTTGATTTTTTGTAGAATAAATCTGCAATTATGTGGTTTGGCTTGGAATGTGTTCAGAAATTAGTGCATTTTCAACAGTTCCATGCAGGTTCCACCATTTTATTACTTTAAAGATAGTTAAATGCTTTTCGTAAAGTATTTTTTGAATATTTCAATTATTCTTACCATTTTTAAAAAGACAAATTATTAAATTTCTTACAGATTTAGCCAGTTTGTAGTATCTTGCCATGTTTACTTTGCCTTTATATATGGAACTGTATTTTGCTAAGCAAGTAAAAATTTCCAAATATAGGTGATAATTCTTTTGGTGTATTTTCATTTAAAAAAAATATATATATATATATAACTAGAAACTTTGTCTACAAAAACATTTCAACAAAAATTTGGAGAGAATTAAAATTGAAAACTTACCTTTATGCATCGAAGAAATCAAATACCTTTAATGAAAAATTCTTTAAAATTGAAAATGAACTACAATATAGCAAAAGTTTTGTCACACATAAATTTTTGAGAACCTCTTTTGAAACACCAGTTTGAAACAATGAAAGTAACCCGTAGCATCCGAGACGCCTAGTGTTGCAAGTTTGGCCTCTTTGGCGAAAGTAAAAACCATAGCCGAGAAAGCCATCTTCCAGAAGCTGGATTTAATTCTACAAAGCAAAGAATTTTTAATTTAACAAAAAACTTACTTCAGAAACATGTTGACACTTTGAAATGTCAACTAACAGAGAACAAAGAATTAATTCTTAAAAATAAAAAATATCAATTACTTCCAAAGTAAAACCCAAATTTAAGTTAAAAACAAAATTGCAATTGAAATAAATAAATAGAACAAAAAAAGCAGGAAAAAAGTGAGAACATTAAATTAAAATACAAAATTTCAAATATTTATTGCATTTTTTAAATTGCCAGACTCAAATGGTAGTTAGTTTTTTGATTTAAAAACTATTGTCAAAGTGCCTAGAAATTTCTTAATGGTGAATTTAATTCTATTAAGAGAAAAAATTTTATATAAAATTTATTAAACAACTTTTAAATATACATATTTAATGTAGGGATAAGCTGTGGTATTTATTTTTATAGTAAAAATTAGTTGTTGGGCTTGACACTCTGTTTTAACATTGTGTCAATAGAAAAATTACTTATTTTTAGGGGGAAATATTACATAACTTTGAGCTATTACTGTAATTTTCATGAATTTCCCTCTGTTTTTGTGTGCTGGAAGTGTGGTCAGCCTACTTAATAAATAATCAAGGTATGTATTTTGTGCTGGTCTTAGAGATGACTTGTATAGATTGGCTTATTTAGATAATGAATTTAAGACTTCGTCCATAGAGGGAAAAAAAGAAAATGCTTTGTCTATGCTAAATTGGAAATGGAATGAGAAAAAAACAAGCTGTTTGCTTTGACATAGGTCCGCTACTATATTGTATTTCAGAGCTATTTCTCTGTTTTGCAAATTGTAAAATATTCGGTGACTCTTCTTCTAAAGTTAAAAAATCAAAATTTTGTTTTCTAACTCTAAAAGTAAATTGATAACACAAATATAAAATTAGGCTTTTGAAGTGCATTCTTTAATAAAGTTAGCACTTGAAAATAACTATGTCATAATATAAAATCATTAATGGTCTTAAAATTATTAAAAATAACCCTTAATGATAACAGTTTGTCTGGTTGCTCGTTATTTTATTCTAGGGTATATTAACAAGTAATCTAAATGGAACAAAATGCTCATGTGAATTAAAAGTAAGTGCATCCTAATAATCTTTGATGTACCTATTTGTATCCTTATAGATGTGTATGCACTTGAGCATGTTGAAATTTTCAGTATTTTTTTCTATTTTAAAGAGATAATGATTAGATGTATGGGCTGACGTTTTGGAAAAAATTTTAATGCATGCTATTTTTTATACAAGTTCATCAATTAAGATAGAGTTTTGAAGATTTTTTTTTTTTTTTTTTTTTTTTTTTTTTGCATGGGTTTACAATTTTGATTTAATAGTCATTTCTGTAGTAATTTGCTTGATTTTATAGCTGTTGCATCAGTTTTAAGTGGTGCAAGGAGCCCTTTTTTTACTTTGAAAATTGTCGGTATTAATAACTAAATGAAAATATGTGTTTGTTTCTGATTTTGCATTTATATATTGAATATAATATTATTGGCTTGTAAAATACATCATAAAAATAAACAGAATTTTCCTACTGCTATGAAAATTTGATTATGGATCATTTTATCTGATGTTCTCACTTTTCTGTACTTTTTTTAAGGAAATGTGTAAATGTTGTTGATTTTAATATGGTTTATGCTTGATAATATTTCTTAAACAGATTGTATCTTTTGTGAATGGAAAAAAAATGTGTAAAATTGTTAGAATGAAATTCTGCAATCCTTCTTTTATCTTGCTTGTTATATTTCGGCAATTTGATTTTAAAACCTTGTTGGAATTTTCGTTACAGTATAATGAGCTTAATCCGTTATAATATATGCACTTGCTCAGTAAAAAAAGGGATAGTTTTATATCTGTTTTTCTCCTTGGCTAATTAATGAGATGGGTTTTACAAGCGTCGAAAGTGCGAGTTAGGATATATATTATATTTATGTAAAGTACTGTTCTAAACTACGAATTTTGACACAAAATTATGACTGAAAACCAAGTTTTATAAAACTTGGTGAGTGAATAATTTTAAAATATAGTTTGGGGCCCTTATTTCGCTTCTTGCTAATTGCAATTCACTTGGCAAACTTCTCAGTGAATGTCAACCTTTTTGCTTTCTCTTTCATTCTGAATGTGCAGAAAAAATGTATTATTTCTTTTTCTTGTGAATATTTTTATTTTATATTATATTTTAATTAGTTGTTATTTTAGATTTTTTTTCAAAAGAATTTTATTTTTATATTTGAGTTTTAAAATTAGTCTTAATGGTAGTTCTTAAAATAATTATTTAAAAAATTTTTATTTATTCATTGCATTATATACTTTAAGTAAGTTTATTTATATGAATGAATTTTTGTTTTTAATTTGATATTATATGTTTAAATAACATTTATTTTGGAAAAATAAATTAAAAATAAGTAAATATTTTATCTTTGTAATGCCTTGTTTTTTTTTTTTTTTTTTTTTTTTTTCCCTTCCTTAATGGCTTATTGCCTTAAGAAAACCTTAATGTCTTAATGATTTTGAGGCATTCTGCAAATATATCTGCTGTCATCCAAACCTTTTTTATTTGCTATATGTCATACTCACTTTTGAAACTGGGTGTTTCCTATGGCATTCTTATGAGTAAAGGTGCTGCCTTCAGTTTCATTAGTATTTGATCAGAGTTAAATAGTGAAGCGATTTTGTTCATGATGCTGAGCGTCTATAGAAGCTAGATAGTTTGAAGGCAGGAGACGAAAGTAAAGACTAATTTCGTCAATACCGAAAACATTTTTAGCTGATATCCAAACACTTTTTTGGGTAAATTCTTCAATCTTCAACAAATTTGGCTGAGATATCTTTGGATTCTCCATATGATATGCTATCACATTCTATGATGTAATTAAATTTATAATTTATACAGCCTTATAGTGATAAAGTAGTTGTCCTTCGTAACATTATTTCTTGTTTCTTTTTCAAGTGGGCAGTACCATTTGCTGGAATTTTTGACACAAGACTGAGTGTAAATTTCAAAATATACTTTGAACTTCCAGATAATTTGCCTTGAACATGCAATTTCTTTGAAGAAGTTTCCAGAAAACTGTTGTTCTTTCTTCTGATTTCCTTCTTTCAGAAATATGTGTGTTCTACTGCTGACACAAAAGTGTTCAGTCTTTTTGACAATTATATTTCTATAAATTTTGTATTTTTATCAAAATTTTATTTGTATCTTTCAGGGAAACTGCTTTTATTATTTTTTCAGACATTTTAACTGCAAATTATGCATAAAGTAAAACCTGGAGGCAAACAAATAATAGAGGAATAAGGCATTTTCCAAACTTACAGAATTCAGCATTTATTCTTTCCCACCTAGTGATCCGATATTAATATCCATAGCAAATGTTCTAAATTATGGGATATTTGATAATTTTTAAGATCAGCAAATAAGATATTAAAGAGCAAATTTTTTTTTAATTTTCTCTAATAATGTCAGGAAGAAACATTCTTTGTGAGAGGGTTACTATAAAGTGCAATTGCTAAGAATTACATAAAACATCAGCCAATTAACAGAGTTTAAAATGCGAGAAACATGCATAATAGAATATTTACTTCCTCTCCCCTTTTTGTATCTTTCTTCTTTTTCTTTTCTTTTTTATTTATTTATTGGTGCACTGTTTTCCATGCGCACACAGCTATCTGTCCTAGCTTAAAGAAACATCAAAGAATTGCTGAAACTTGGCATTGCACATAACTTGGCACTACACATGCTGTTGGTTCTCCCCATGTACACAGTGCTCTGTTTTCACTTTAAAATGCGTCAGAATATTGTACAAATTTGGCATTGCACATACTGTTGTTTTCTTACACACATGGTGATCTGTTTTTTGATTAAAAAGCATCAAAGAACAGCAATCTGTCTTAGCTTAAAAAAACATCAAAGAATTGCTGAAGCTCGGCATTGCACATAACTTGGCACTACACACGCTGTCAGTTTACCCATGTATGTACACAGTGATCTGTTTTCACTTAAAAACACATCAGAATATTGTACAAATTTTGAATTGCACATACTGTTGTTTTCTTACATGCACGGTGATCTGTTTTTTGATTAAAAAGCATCAGAGAACAGCATGAAGTTGACATCATTTGACAAATTTTGATCCATAAAATTTTATAATTAAATAAATAAGTGCAGCATCATGGAATGCAGATTGTTTTATTCTCTACTGTTAGGCAGAATGCCATTTTTTCTGAAGGAATGCAATGCTTTCTTTTTCATTAGCGAGCAAACTACAGTCCCATTACGATTCATTACGAGGAAAAAAGGAATGCACTCATTGCAACAAAAACAAACACTAATGATCATTGAATTTGAAGGTAGAAATGTGGCCTTCAGTGGAAATTGCCTCTTTTGTGTTTGTGAGCATGTGCATACCAGGTTGCCGCAATAATGCATTTTGGTGATAGTATCATGAATTGCTTGTTTTAGTGATATAGCCCATTGCTTCATGAATACTATTCAAGAGGGGTAGTGGATAATCTAGAAGTACCAATTTTGTAGATGTCATGTCTGAGTTTTATTCCTACTTCTTTCTTTTTAATTTTTATACTAAATTTGGATTATTTGTTCAGACAAACTTATATATTAAGAGCTTTTTTGATACAAAATAATTGCATTTTTCTCATGTATTCACAATGCTAGCATATTGAGCTACAATGATAAAATTCAATCTCATAATGAAAGGTATTGTAAATGCAAGTAGAATTAATAACAGAGAGAAAGTTGTAACCGAAAAGGAAATTTTTTTAATGATGAAAGAACACATGAATTTGCACTGAATCATTTGACATAACCAAAGCTGCATATTCACTAGTGAAACTATTTTCAAACTAATTTTTGTGTTTTTAAAGTAAAAATATATAAATACAGTACAAAGTCCAAATTAGAATTCTTTAGAAGGGGGAAAAATTCACTCAATGCAACCCTGCCCCCCCCCAAAAAAGCACTTCCTTCCCCTTTCTGCTGACTAGATGGCTCATTTACATATAGTTATGCCCTGCTAGTGGGTTGTTTTCTACTACCTAGCCAATGACAGCTTCAAAGTGGAATCTATAGGTAGATCAGTTGAGCACATCTGTGTATTAGTGGAATTATAATAATAGTTTACAGATACAAGTCTGCATGCATTAAATGGAACTGGAACCTATAGATACTCGAATTTTATGAATATTTATGTTGAGGTTTGCATTTCCTGAAGACAGAATTTTGTGTCTTTACGTTTGAATTTTGAACAGAAGTCAGAATTTTTAGATACACTAAAGTAATTAAAGTGTTTTACAGTTATAACAGAAATGATGTTTATAGTCTTTACAGTTTTTAACATTTACTGTCATTTCAAGCCAGATAGGTGTTACAACTTATCAGAGTTATCATTTATGTATTTAATCATCTGTATTGCTCCATTTAGAGCTCTATAATTGCCTGGGAACAATTTGAACCATTTTTGTTCATTACTTGTTGATGGTTATGACAGATGTAGCTTTGCCGTTATTTGACAGTCTTGTATGTACTGGGTGGGGTGGCTTCAATACCACAGCATCACATATCTATTTCTATCTTGCCAAATCTGTGTAAGTATGCGGTAGTGGGAGAATGATCTGTGTGTAACTGTATGGCATAGCTTCAGTTAATCTTAATTTCTGTGGAGACCTTCAGAAAATATTTATAGGTCACTTGCACTGCATCCATGTTATCCCAGTTCTCTTGCCATTCTGATATAGCCTGAACATTGGTCTTGTTCTTGAAGTCGGAGACTGAATTTGGAATGAATATATGATGGATACTATGATCTGCTATAGCGGCTTTTGCTAGTTTATCCACATGTTCATTTCCTTGTGGTCCGGTATGGTGGTTCATTCCTTGTGGTCCGATCCATCTCAGTTGAATCTTTCCTTTGCTATGTGCAGTGAGATGGCAAATGTCATGTGTAATTCTGTTTTTGCTTTTGGTACCTGCTAGTGCCAAAACATGAAAGAAACTGAGTTGATTACGGTTTGTGTTTGATGTGCTGGTGCCAATTCAGCTCTTGTTTAGTGGGCAATCAGCTC